CTATATTATCAATTCCATCCATTTTGTTAACAAAAATCAAACGAGGAATATTATACTTTTTTGCTTGCCTTCAAACTGTCTCAGTTTGAGCTTCAACGCCCTTTTTTCCATCTAAAACCACTATTCCGCCATCCAAAACTCGCAAAGACTTTTCTACTTCGGCAGTGAAATCAACATGGCCAGGAGTATCAATAATGTTTATTTGATGGTCTTTTCAATAGACAGTAGTAGCAGCCGACTGGATAGTAATTCCTCTTTCTTGTTCCTGATCCATAAAGTCCATCTGGGCTTTTCCCTCGTGAACTTCACCAATTTTGTGAATTTTTCCACTATGAAAAAGTATTCTTTCAGTAGTCGTAGTTTTTCCGGCATCAATATGAGCCATGACACCAATATTACGGATATTAGCTAATTGTTTTTTTTCTTCTTCAGGCATATAATATTTTCTTTTTAATACTCTCTTCGCAGGTTCCCACTCACAAACTGGACAGATATCGCTTTGCAATCTATTATAATCTTTAGTCAATACTTCTGTTTGTTCCACATGAATATAGTTAGAACACTTAAATCTTTTTATATTTTTTTTACTTATCGCGTCGACGAACAATATATTTATCTGAAGGCTTATTTCGCTTACGAGTTTTTTTTCCTAGGGTTTTATTACCTCATGGATCAACAGGAGATTTTAGACCAATACCAGCTTTTCCTTCACCACCGCCATGACGGTGATCAACTGGATTCATCGCTGATCCTCGCACAGTAGGACGAACACCTTTTCACCTATTTCTTCCCGCTTTGCCTAATTTTACTAAATTAGCCTCGCTGTTACTTACTTTACCAATAGTGGCACGACAAGTTGCCAAAACTTTACGAACTTCTTTTGACATTAGTTTTACTAAAACGTACCTGCTGTTTTCATCTTTACCAATTATTTCAGCATAAGTACCTGCGCCGCGGGCTAATTGACCGCCTTTTTTTGGTTTCAATTCTAAATTGTGAATAGGAGTATTGATCGGGATATAAGAAAGAGGCAAATTATTGCCCGGAAGTAATGGAACCTCATCGTTCTCGCCACTTTTTATTTTATCATTCACCCTTAAGCCTTCTGGAGTAATTATAAAAGTAAAACTACCATCTATATAACTTACTAGTGAAATAAAAGAATTACGATTAGGATCGTACTCGATTGATTTTACTTTTCCTTCAATTCCGTCCTTTTCATAACGTTTGAAATCGATAATTCGATAAAATCTTTTGTGACTGCGACTTCCTTGGTGTCGCATAGTAATTCTCCCCTGGTTATTACGTCCTGAATTCGGCTTTATTATTTGCAGCAATTTACGAGGAGTTTTTTGTGAATTAGGAACCAATTTTTCGCGATAATCTATAAGAATAGTGTTACGACGAGAATTAGTTATCGGCTTGACTGTTTTGGTCATATATGATAATTTTTAGTTATTCTCCAGAGAAGTCTGGTAATTTTTGTCCTGGCATCAGTTCAACAAAGGCCTTTTTTTTTAACTTAGTATAAATACGAGTTGAAGATTTTTGTAAATAGCGGTTTTTTTGTAAAACTTGTTTTTGTCGACTAGTGCGAACACTCCTCACTTTTATTTTTGAGTCTGAAAACATTGTTTCAAGAGCATTTTTGATTTGAAATTTATTAGCGGAGGGAAGAACGTAAAAAGTATAAACTTTATTTTTTTGATAAACTAACTGACTTTTCTCAGTTAAAATGGGTTTTTGAATTAACATAACTTTTGGACTTTATTTTTTATTGATTAAAAAACTTTAAATTAATCTTTGTTCAGTTTCGATCAAAGCTGAGTGAGTAAAAAGAAGATAACGAGGAGACAATAACTGAGAAGAATTAATTAATTTACTATCAGAAATATTTATGTAAGGTAAATTACGAAAAGCAGATATTATTTTTTCTTTATTTTCTTCCATGCTAGCCAAAACCAATAAAGTTTTGGACTTTTTGATTGACAAAATATTAAAAAATTTCTCGGCTTCTTTTGTTTTGTAATTATCAAAAGTTAAGTTATCAACAACAAATATTTCTTTCTTCCGCATTCTTTCCCCCAAAAGAGATTGAAAAACTTTTTTTTTTAATTTATTATTAATTTTAAGTGAATAATTTTCTTCCCCGGTTGGTCCGAAAGCAACTCCTCCACTACGAAACTGTGGAGCATTTCGAGCACCATGACGAGCACCACCAGTTCCCTTTTGTCGATAAATTTTTCTTGTGCTTCCTTTTATTTCTCCGCGACTTTTTGCCTTACTAGTTGACTGGCGCTGATTAAAAGAATAATAACGATTAACAAGCGAAAAATTTCGAGCTGAAAGAGGGACTTGTCAAATTGGCAAATTGAGTTGGAAACTATTCACCGCTTCTCCTTTCTGATTAATTATCTCTATCTTCTCCATATATTATTTATTTTTATGTCTTTTTTTATTTATTAGTAACCCAATAACTACTCCAACTACAATATTCCAACAATTCCCACAACCTATTAAAAGTTTGTTGTTTTTTGGCTCCTTAAATGAATAATTTCTAACTTTAACCATATTTTTTAGATCTTCTAGTTTAATCTCACTTTTACTATTCATTTGTGAAAATTTTTTACTAATTGAAGTTCAGCAGTGATATTTTCTTGGGAAATAATTTTATTATTATTATTATTATTATTATTATTATAGGCAATTACTAATTCATCGTTTTTAAAAGTTATTTTTTTTAATTTTTATAAACTTTTTCTTAATAATACTAAACCTTTTTTTGGACCCGGAACTGCTCCACGAAGAAAAATAATTTGATTTTCTTTATCTACTTTTTCTATTATCGAATTTTGAGTAACTTTCACATTTCCCATGCGACCAGGCATCTTTTTACCTTTAGGAACACCTTGATTAGTACCACGACCACCACCCATGGAACCAATTTGACGATGAGGATAACCACCACCATGCGACATATTTCCAATTTTGAAACCATATCTTTTAACTACTCCTTGAGTGCCTTTACCTTTAGAATTATCAGTAGTTACTTTGATTTTGTCTCCTTCTTGGAGAATTGATAAATCTATCTGAGAACCTGCTTCAAATCCACTCATGTTTCTTACTTCTCGCAAATGTCTTTTCGGAGAAATATTTTTTTTATTCAAATGACCTAAAAGCGCTTTATTAAGATCTTTTTCTGAACAATCTCCAAAAGCAATTTGGCAAGAGTTATAACCATCTTTTTCTTCAACTTTTATTTGGGAAATTGTGTTTCCGCCCACTCATATTGCTGTAACAGGCCTAAAACCCCTTGTGCTTGAAGGTAACTGAGTCATACTCATTTTCTTACCTAATATACCAACTATTTTCATATTAAATATGTTTTAAATACTTTTGACAAAGATAAGAATTTGCTAAAGATTTATTTAATTGGCAATTTTTTGTGATATTCCACCAACAACAAAACTTTTATTAATAAAATTATTTAAAACTAGTTAAATTCTTCATAGAGATAAATTAATAAATGAAAATAAAAGAATTACAAGATTTATCTAACAAAGTTCAAATAGAAATGGAAGAAAAAGAATTAACTGAAAACTTAGAAAACTTCGAACAACTAGAAAAAATCTTAGCGGACTTCAAGAAAATAAAAATTGGAAAGAAAGTAATGCCAATGACAAGAATTGATGTTGGCTACTTAACTTTGTCAGATTTGGAGAAACTAACAAAAAATTTTCCGATAAAAAAAATTAGTAAAAAAACTCTTGAAAGTAACAGCATAGTTACCGAGAAAGGCTTTGTGCTTTTTAAGAAAGTTCCTTAGAACTAATATTTTTTTTGTTTATCTTCTTATTTGTGTCCTTTATTTGCTGATAGAATGTGAAATAATGCCGAATTTTCATTTTTTGCTCTTTTAAAAATTGACATCGAAAAGCCTTGAATATTTCAGAATAAGTAGACTTGAAAAATGTGTCAAGTCTCAAAATATAATAACAGTTATTACAAGCACAATTTACTATTCTTCACTAAAAAAAGTTATGTCAAAAAATGGTAACTTGATTTTTCTCTATTCTTTTCTATAGTCCAAAATAATTCTTTAAATACTCTGCTACACCGCCGCTATGACTATCGAATTCAGTAATATCATGCACATAGGATTTTAGGTTATTAGCACTATTAGAAACCGCTACCCCTATTCCAACTTTATTCATCATTTCAATATCATTAATATCATTACCAAAAGCAATAGTATTCATCAAAGAAATATTATAATAACCAGCGACTAATTTGGCTGCTTCGCCTTTATTGGCATTAAAATTACGGATTTTAATTATTAATTTATCGTGATCAGAAACTAAAATTTTATCTCCTTCGCCTTTTGCTTTTAGTTTTTCTCCACAATAGAAAGTAATACTAGACTTATAATTTTTTCTTAATGTTCTTATAACATCATCAACTAATTTTACTTCATTAGGAAATTCAAGGACCAACTGTAAACAGTCCTTATCTCCCAAATGTTGTAAAACATCGCCTTTAACAAAAGTATTACCATTAAAGAAAATTTCACGATAATAAATGTCATCACTAGTTGAAATAGTTTCTCTATCTATCGAATCAACCATAACATTAAGTAAATTATCTTGCACAATTTTTTCCGACAATATGTCTCTAACAACCGAGTTAGCAATAGTAATAACCGCAAGAGGCAAACTATCTATTTTTAAAGGGTGATTAATGTGAGCCCCGTTATAAGTAATCAAAAAAGTATCAAGTCCAATCTCCTTATAAATAGGTAGCGTTGATAGGTAATTTCGACCAGTTGCAATACATACTTTATGTCCTTTTTCTTTTAGTTTAAACAAAACTTCCGCCGCTTTTTTGTCCACATTAGTAAAGTCTGGTAAAATTGTTCCATCTAAATCTACTATGATTAAGTGTTTTTCTTGATTATTTGTTATTTCTATACTCATATAATTCTATTTTTTATTGTTTAATGGCGCGCCTGGTAGGAATCGAACCCACAACCATTTGATCCGAAGTCAAATATTCTATCCGTTGAACTACAGGCGCATAATTCCATGGAAAACTAGATAATTTAACTAAAATTTTTAATTATTTAGTTAAGTTTTCCTTTTCAGACTATACTTTCATTTTTTAAGTATTTTACGAAAAAAATACGGAAAAAACTTGATTTATATTTCTCAACAAGTTTAAGAAATTTATTTTCCCAGACAGAATTTACTAAAAATTATATCCAATAATTCCTTGTTATATTCTTTTCCTCTTAACTCTTTTGATAACTTATAGCATTTTTCTAGATCGCCACATAATGCATCTAAATAATTTTCTTTTTTTAATTCTTCAATTATTTCTTCTAATTTTTTTAAAAGATTATTTAATTTTGCTTGTTGTCAACTTTGGCTTAAATAAGGATAAGAGGGCAAAGTTTGTATTAAATTACCAGAAAATAATTCGCTAATTTTTTCTTCAATTTCTGCTAATCACTTATTTTTTGCACTGATTCGCACAATTTTTTCCACATGAATATAAGGGGGTATTTGTAATTTACTAATTTCATCAATTTTATTAATAACAAGCAAAAATTTTTTTTGTTTAATTTTTTGGTAAATACTCTCATCATTTTGGCTTCAAGGATTTGAATTATCAACCACAAAAAAAATAATTTCAACTTTTTTTAAAGCTTCGTAACTTCTTTCGACTCCGATTTTTTCAACTATGTCTTGTGTTTCATGAATACCAGCAGTGTCTAATAAAATTAAAGGCACTCCTTTTAAATTATAATGAGTTTCGACTATATCGCGAGTAGTGCCGGCGATCGGAGAAACAATGGCTTTTTCTTCTTGCAGTATTGCATTTAAAAGGGTAGATTTACCCACGTTTGGTTTTCCGACTATGGCTATTTTTAAACCTTCTTGAAAAACTCGAGTTTTTTCGCCACTTTCTTTAATTATTTTTAATTTTTCTATCAAATTATTTAGGCGAATTAGAACTTGCTTACCAGTTAAATACTCTACTCCATCATATTCAGGATAATCAATATTTACTTTAATATTAGCAATAATTTCTAATAACTCATTTTCAATATAGTCTAAGTCTTTTTGGCTCTCTTTGCTTAAATTATGGAGAGCTAATTTGGTTCCGAACAAGCCAGGAGCGCGAATTAAGTCGTTTATTGCATTGGCTTGAATTAGGTTTAATTTACCATTGAAGAAAGCTTGCTTAGTAAATTCTCCTTCTTTGGCTAATTCAGCGCCTTTTTCAAGAATTAACTGTAATATTTGATTAACGATAAACAAATTACCGTGACAACTAATTTCTACCAAATCTTCGCCTGTAAAAGAACGCGGTTTATAAAAACAAAGTAGTAAAACTTCATCAACAATCTCTTTTTTGCTATTAGTAATTTTTCCAAAAACTAATTGCGAATTTTTTTGTGGATATTTGGGTAAAGAACGGTCAAAAATTTCGCCAATAATTTGGTAAGTTTTAGAACCAGAAATTCTAATAAGAGCGATATTTTGAGTAATTGGTACGGTGACTAGGGAAGTAATGGTTTTATTAGAAATCATTTTCAAAACTTTTAGAAATAAAATTAAAATGAGTTATATATTTTCTATTGTGTAATCTAGAGAATTAAGTTGATAATTCTTGCTTTCATTCATATTTATTTTATAATTAAATCAGTTAAGTTTAGATGGTAGTAAGTTGGATCAGATTACTACTTTGCTAAGTGAAACTGAACAATTGAAAAAAGATTTGCAGGCCGCTAAAGAAAAAACTTTACCCGCTTGAATTGGTTATTGCTCAATAGTAGGAGTAATTGGTTGTTTCTTATTATTGCTTTACAATACTTTCTCTAAAAATAAAGAAAAAAAAGAGCAAGATAATCATGAAGTTTATGAATAATATTCAATTAATTCGTTGCTATTCTTTATTCTGTCAGTTCACCACTGACAGTGAAGAAGTCTTAACGCAACACGAAAAAACACACACGATCGATAATTATGAACGAACAAAAAAATAAAGAATTAGAATTTATTAGACAAATATTAGAATGAGCAGTTAATGAAGCTGATTTAGGATTATTAACTGAACTTAGATGAAAAATTGTTCACGTGATTGAATTTAGAGAAGTTCAAGCCAAAGTTGATTTTACCAGCAAAGAGCAATGAATAGATGAAATGCTAGCCGAGATTGCGAAAAAAAAACCCTAAAAACTAAACTCTTTTCTTAGGTTCTAATTTCTCTCCGCCTAAGAAGTGAGTACGTTTTTTTTACCAATGCCGAAGAAACTGGTCTTTATTGTTTTGTTTACAATAATAATCCTAAATTTAATCAAAAACTCTCAACTTGCTGATAATTTTTCTGCAACGAAGAAATAGTTGATAAAAGGTTAAAAAGCTTTTTAATTGTTAAAAAGATGCTTTGAATACTATAAGCAAGAAAATAATCATTTCAACTTAACGCCCCTTGGCCTTCCAAGAAAAAATTATAGTAGAAATAAAGAAAGGAAACAGAAAAACCAGGAATTATTAAATTGGGTGAATTTAGAAGTAGCGAAATAAAATTTAAACTTGACAATTTTTGTGAATTCTTGTCTAGTGACTTATGTATTATACTTAAACTCACTGATTTATTTTTATCATTTAGATTAGCAAAAAAAATTTTTATTTGATCTTTTTCTGAATATTGATATTCTATTTTTCTCTCTTCTTGACTTTGACGAAATTTATTAGTAAATAAATAAAAAAGAATTAATCAAAGTAAATTAGTAAAAGCAAACACAAAAGGCAAAGGCAATAAATGTGATAACTTTCGTGAATCAATAAGAAAAAAGAGCAAAAATAAAGCAAAAGAAATATCAGTAAAAATACCAAATAGTCTGATCGGAACATCAAAAAATTGTTGAGAAAAATCTGGAATAGAATTAGTAATAATATAGACTTTTTCATCTGCTTTTTTCATTATCTGATCCTTATTTTTGTAAACAAAATTAAGAAATTTTTTAGTTAGATAAACTGTGGTTTTTCTTTGAGAAAATTCTTGAAAATAATTCAGAGCTGACTGAGCAATTATTTTCAAGGGAAAACAAAGAAAAAAAAGAAAAAGTAATAATTTATTTCAATCAACGTATATCTCACCACTACTTTGTGCTGACTTAATAATTAAATGCTTACCAAAAAGATAATAAAATCATCCTCTTGTTTCTTGATCATAACTTAAATTATTTCGGAAATTAAAAGGAATTAGAAAAGAAAAATAAGACACAAAAAAACAAAGAAAAAAAAGAAAAATAAAATTTCACTTAAATTTTTTGAAAAGAATTTTGATTATTTTTCTACAGACCATATTTTACTACTTTTTCGCTTCAAATTTTCGCTCTTTCTTAATTTTTTGGCCGGATTTTCCTCAAAAGAAATTTTTTCTCTTCAGGCTTATTTGAATTTAACTTTTGCACAAATCTTTTTTCGCGAATCACGTAGATAGTTACCTCGCCAGGGATAATAATTTTTTCTTTAATTTTCTTCTTAATCTTTTGAGAAACTTCCCAAGTTTGATAATCGTTTAATTTTTCCGAATCAGCAATCACCCATACTTCTCGACCGGATTGAAAAGCATAACTTTTTTTAATACCAGGGAAACTCTTAGAAATATTTTCTAAACTGTTCATTCTCTCAATATAAGTTTCTGACTGTTGGCTTCGAGCACCAGGGCGTCCCGCCGACAACTTATCGGCCGCAATAACAATTAAAGAATAAAGATTATTAGCAGGATAATCGCGATGATGAGAAGCAATAGCATTGATCACTACTTCTGACTCTTTATATTTTCTAGCTAAATCAATACCACTTAGCACATGAGAATAACCACTATTATCTTCTACAACTTTCCCGATGTCGTGAAATAGACCAGCACGACGAGAAAGTTTGACATCAAGGTTTAATTCGGCAGCAATAATTCCCGATAATTTAGCTACTTCCAAACAATGCTCCAAAACATTCTGTCCATAACTGGTGCGATATTTAAGTTTTCCTAAACATTTCACTAATTCGGGATGAACACCACTTAATCCTAATTCTTTTATTACTTCTTCGCCACTTTTAACAACAAGTTCATCAATTTCAGAACTAACTTTTTCAAAAGTTTTTTCAATTTGGATTGGTGAAAATCTTTCTTCTCTTAACAAAGACTGCAAAGTTTGGAAAGCCACCTCTTGTCGCAAAGAATTGAAAGAAGAAACTTGGATGGTTGCATCATCGCTTTCACTGTCAATAATTACTTCCGCGCCAGTAATTCTTCGAAAAGCATTAATGTTTCTTCCTTCTTTACCAATTACTTTACTAATTATTTGTTGATTCTCCACTGACAAAATTTTGGTAGTTTTAGTAAATAATAATTCTGAACTATATTTTTCTAAGGAAAGACAAATTATTTTGGTAGTTTCTTCTTTGACTTTTTCCTGAATTTTTTTTAACTCTTCTTCTTTATATTTATTAAAATCGTAATCTATTTCTTCTTTAAGCAAAGAAAACAAGTTTTTTTCTGCTGCTTCTCGACTCATGGAAACCATTTTTCCTAAATCATCTATTATCCTCCGCTTCAAATCCCTATTTTTTTCCATTTCGCTCTGGAATTTTTCCTCACGTTGCGAATTTAAAATTAGTTGCTGAGTAAACACTTCTTCCTTACGAAATAACTGATTAGCAAAATTTTCTAACCTTTTTTCTTCTTGCTGCATTCTTTTTTCTGCAACTTTGACTTTTCCATTATCATTCGCTAATTTTTTGGTAATCAACTCCAGTCTTTTTTCTTTTTCTCTCAGTTCTTTCGCCAGTTTTTTTTGTTCTTGGATCAGATTTTTTTGTGAACGCAACTTTTCCCTAAATACTTTTTTTAAGTAAAATAATATAACAATAAGAAAAAATAAGAATAATAAATATCCATATTTTTCTTCTAATCATTCAAAAAATTTCATATGAAGAAACAAGAAATAAAAGATTTGTTAAATTTGTTAAGTAAAAAATCGAAACCATTGGCAGGAAATAATC